AGCCACACACAGTGACCCTCCTGCCTCCCTATCCACACACAGTAACCCTCCTGCCTGCCTAGCCACACACAGTAACCCTCCTGCCTCCCTAGCCACACACAGTAACCCTCCTGCCTGCCTAGCCACACACAGTAACCCTCCTGCCTGCCTAGCCACACACAGTAACCCTCCTGCCTGCCTAGCCACACACAGTAACCCTCCGGCCTCCCTAGCCACACACAGTAACCCTCCTGCCTCCCTAGCCACACACAGTAACCCTCCTGCCTCCCTAGCCACACACACAGTAACCCTCCTGCCTGCCTAGCCACACACAGTAACCCTCCTGCCTGCCTAGCCACACACAAAAAATGTAATCAGATATTAACATAATTATTGTATTCTTAATTTTCTTGCATTTCATGTCAATATGAAACATTAAAAACCTCATAAACTCCACTCTATTATTTGCTCCACATAAAGCTTTAAGAGTGTCTCTAATCCAGTTTACAAGAACAACTTTCTGCTTACAGAAATAAAATATATGCATATTATTCTCAATTTCAGTACATTGGTCACACCTATTGCTGTCCTTAATGCCCAACATCAACAACCTATCATTAGTAGGAAGGGTCTCATGAATACACTGACACAATAGCTCACGCTGTTTTGGGGCAATAACCCCCCCTCCCTGTTCAACCCGTTGACGCCGTGAGGGGGGCTTAGTGGGCGGCTGCCGGAGAGTGATGCTCCTTGGGACAGTCCTCTGTCCTTTTGTAGCCTTGTACTCATGCTGCTGTCCTCTCTAATTGTGCTGAACGACTTTTCCTTTTCCTTCTCTTTCGTTTTTTCCCCCTCTTCTCCTATCTGCTTGTTGTTTCCTTCCGACCTTTTGCTTGGTTTGGTTTTTCCTTTGGACTTCTTTTATTTTGACGCCCGGGTGCTTGAGGAGGCATACTCTTGCACTCGTAGAACTGTTGTACCCAACGTCTCGAGTGAGGGGAACCTTTTATTGTTAATCCCCCTTTCGTCGCTGAACCCGATCTCGACGGACTGACGGTTCTTAAGGTGACGTTTGTGGGGCGTATACTCACGACGCACCCCAAGGGGGCCCCGGCATGATCGGCGATAGCTTCCTGTTGTGTGTCCTGCCTCTAATTGTGGCTCCATGGTGGGTGTGGGGGCACATTCGTGGATGAATTTATCACTCTTCGTCTGTATGTCATTGAATATTTCTGTTGTACGCTCTCAGGCTCGTGGGGTGGGCGATCAAGCCCCGGAGTCGGCCTGTATTGGAAGACCGGGCTCTGTAACTCCCGCTGCATTGGGCCCCGACCTTGCTCCTCTTTTGACCCTCCTGACTTTTTCCCCCAGCTCCCCTCCCTCCTCTGGTTGGGTCCAGCCTCAAGCCCCCAGTGGTGACCACTTCGTCCCCTGGTGCGGCTAAGTCTCTTGTTGTGGCTACTGTGCCTTTTAACCCCTCTCTCTCTGGGGGTTCTCAACGCCGTCCGCGCCACGGCCGCACTCGCTCCATTACTTCCCGTACTGATGCGTATCAGGCCTTGTTTGGTCCCGCTTCGTGGGCCAAATACTTTGATCTCCTCCCTCTTGATTCTGTGCCTCCTGACGATTTCTCCCTCCATCGACATCGTGTTGATTCCGTGGATGCCTCTGTTACTTTCAACCCTACTTGTCTCGGTACACGTGTCGTTGCTGTTCCTTCTCAGGATGCAGCTTCCCACTTGGCTGCCTTATCCTGCCTTGGCGAGATCCCTGTTCGGGTTTCAAAGAACGCTCAGTTGAATGCCAGTGTTGGCACTATTCTCCTTCCGCCCCATGTTGCGACCGGTGTTCGGAATCTGCAGGACTGCCACGAGGATATTTGGCATATCCTTGATGCCCAAGGCCATTCTGTTCTCCAGGTAGACTCGTTTACTCGTCCCCCTCGTGGTCGTCGCCGTCAACCCCTTCGGGTTGTGAAGATTACCTTTGATGGTAGGACCCTTCCATCCTCTGTCGTTCTTGCTGGTGCCTGGTGCTCTGTCCAGGAGTACATTCCTTCTCCTCGGCTCTGTAACAAGTGCTGGAGGTTTGGGCATGGTGCTCTCCGCTGCTCTGGGACTGTGTGTGTCTGTCCTTTGTGTGGGGGCGAAGGTCACTCTAAGTCGGAGTGCACTTCTCCCCAGGTTCGCTGCCTCAACTGCGGTGAGGCCCATCCTACCTTCTCCCGCACCTGTATCCATTACATGCTTGAGGCAGCCGTCCTCACCTTGAAGCACCGGGAGCGTTTATCTTTTCCTGAGGCAAGGCGCCAGGTTCGCCGGCTCCCGCCTTATGCAAACGTCTCTAATGCTCGCATGTTGCACTCTTCCTCTCCTCGTCTTTCCCACCTTCCTCGGACTCACGACCGTTTCTGGGCCTTGGACCCTGATACGCCCATTGCCCCCTCCTCTGTTCCTTTGAGTTCTGTCCAAAAGGGTCCCCCTCCTGCTCCTCTGTCTGGGGTTCCCCTTCTTTCTGCCCGGTCTGTCATGTCTCTTATGTCTTCTTCCTTGTCTCCCTCTGATCCTCCTTCCCATCCTTCTCCATCTATTTACTCTCCCCACCACCTGTCGGTGCGGGCTGATGTCCATTGCTCTCCTAACAGTCGTCGTGTGTGCTCTCGTTCAGCTTCTGTTGAGACGCTGGAATCCGTTGCCCAGTACGTAGTTGCTGGGACACCGGTCTCTTTAAGCCAGAAGCGAAAGCCTGGCTCCTCTCCTTCCTCCTCCCCAGCGGGTAAGAAGGCTTCGCTCTCTTTCTCGGCCCCTACTACTGACTCTATTGCTCCTTCCCCTCCAGTTTCGGTGGTTGCGCCCCCTGTTCCTGCTATTGAGGTTTCTTTGGCCCCCCTTCCCTCTCGGTTGGTACCCTTGCTGAGGTGCGCTTCCCTCTTTCTACTCCCCCTCTTCCTGCTGCTGTCCTTGACTACTCTTCTAGGTTGCCTCCGCCTTTTCCTCCTCCGGACCCCACCTGCTCACCTCTGGTCTGTTCTCCCGCTTCCTTCCCTCCGTCTTTGCTCAGTGTACCCATGCCCCCTAACCCTGACTTTGCTGACCCTTATCCCAACCCTGATCTTCTTTAACGTGCTATGTTGCTCTTTTGCTTTCGGGGTTATTCTTTGACACTCGTTTGTATTGGTCTCCCCATATCTCTTACCTCCGTGTTGAGTGCTCTAAGGCCCTTACCCTCCTTCGGGTATTGTCCCATACTTCTTGAGGAGCGGATAGGCGCACTCTCCTTGCTTAACATTCCTCTCTCGTCCTGTCTAAGTTCGATTATGGTTGCCCTGCTTACTCGTCTGCTTCTCCTTCTACTCTTCGCCGTCTTGATGCTTTACACCATACTGGGTTGCGCCTCAGTTCTGGTGCCTTTCGTTCGACTCCCGTCCTCAGCTTGTATGTTGATACTGGCTTCCTATCTCTCCTGGACCGCCATGATCGCTACTGTCTTCGCTATCTTGCATGGTCCTTGCAACATCCTTTCTCTCGCCTCTGTCGTGATTTAACTTTTACCCCTCCTGCGGTTCCTGTTCCTCTTCACCACCTCCCTCTTTCTGTCCGGTTATCTCGCTTACAGGATTCTCTTTCAGTTCGTATTTCTAATATTTCTCCTCGTGTAGTTCCATCTTTGCCTATGTGGAGAGTCCCCCTTCCGCAGTTTTGTACGTCCTTGACCCGCATCCCTAAAGCTTTTACCCCTCCTACGGTTCTAAAACGCCTTTTCCTTGAGCACTTTTCTTCTCACTCCCGCTCCGTTTCTGTCTTCACCGATGGGTCTACGTCTGCAGACAGTGTTGGCTACTGTGTTGTTTTTCCTGATCGCACTTCTGTGTGTCGCTTACCTCCGGAAACTAGCATCTTCACAGCAGAGCTTTATGCTATTCTCTATGCTCTTCGTCTCCTGCTTTCTCGTTGTCAGTCTTCCTTTGTAGTTTTTGACTCTCGTAGTGCCCTCATGGCTCTCGGGTCCTTTAATCCGGTTCATCCAGTAGTTGTCGAGATCCAGCATTGGCTGTTTCTTGTTCACAGTAAATTTAAGACAGTTGAGTTTTGTTGGGTTCCCAGCCATATTGGTGTGTCTTTAAATGAGTGTGCGGATGCTGCCGCCAGGGAAGCTGTCCGCTCTTGTCCCATCTCTCGGAAAGGTATTCCTTATTCCAACTTTTACCCGGTTATCCATTCCTCCATCTTTACCTGTTGGCAGGCTTGTTGGTCGTCTGTTACTGGTAACAAACTACGTTCTCTTAAAAGTTATGTGTCCTCGTGGCCGTTCTCATACCACTGTAACCGGCGATGGGAAACGGCTCTGGTGAGGTTGCATATTGCCCATACTCGCTTAACTCATGGTCACTTGATGGAGCGCCGCCCTGCTCCTTATTGTCCTAATTGCATTGTCCCTCTTACAGTCATGCATATCCTTGTTGAATGTCCTGACTTCCGGGACAAGCGTGTGTCTTGTTTTCCGACCGTCTCCCGCAGTCGCTCATCTGTCGATAGTATTCTTGGCGACTCGGATACTTTTGATATGGATCGCCTTATGCGTTTCTGTTCTCGTATTGGCCTACTTGGTGATATTAGCACTCTCTGATTATCCCATGCATTTGATGGTGCTACATAGCAGTCCCGGTTTGGTGCCTTCTTTTAATAATTACTTACTTACTTTGGGGCAATAAACTTTCCATGAAGGTTTGCCCATATTACTTGCCAGCTAAAGAGTGGATATGCCTCCTCTACTCTAGGAACTATATTTGGGAGTATAACATCATACACTTGTTTACTGTTCATCATTAAAAAGCCCTCAATATTACAAATCCGCCTGAGAACATCAACAGGAGTCTCGTCGTGGACGTGGTGGTGAGCAGACGTGTTTTGTTTTCTCTCTGCTACTGGCGTCTGGTGGGTGGACGTGTTTGTCGTCGCTGTTGGCCGGCGTGTTGACGGATGGGCGGATAGCGTCACGCTGGGGGTGGTATATGAGCCGTCATGGGCTCCTACACACCTCCACTCAAGCGGAAGGAGTCCGTAGGTCTCAAGTTCAGTTGTAATGCTGATTCCGACCTTGTATGCACGACGATCTTCGATGTGTTACAGATAAAGACGTACGAAATAGTTGGTTACCAACCACCGCCGGGGAACAGTGATGGTGAAATTTGAAAACAAGGTGGCGTTTCTTAAGTCATCATCATCTTATGATGATGACACTATAAGTTTACCTAATGTGAAATTATCAGTACAAGTGATTAATTTGAGCAAAATGTTTACATACGTTTCTGTGAGGGATGCGCCATTTGAAATGTTGAATGGAACTATTATACACATACTGGAACAATATGGGAAAGTGGACAATGTTCGTTTCAATAAATATACCTATGGCCCAGGGAAAGGATGTTTCAATGGAACAAGAACAGTAAATATGGAACTTCACTGTAGTATTTCTTCATCAATGTCAGTAACAAGTCATTATATTAAATTTATATACAGTGGACAACGGCAAACTTGTTTTAAGTGTGGGCGTACTGGTCACATGGCTGCTGCCTGCCAGGTGGAGGCATCAGAACGGATCAACATTTTTCACACAACCATTTTTCACCGTCCTCACATAACGGTGTGAGGACGGTGCAGGTAACTTAGATCAGGACGATAAAGGTAAAGCAGACAAGGAGGGTGCAGACGACACTGCTCAGGACGCTTTACCTGCTGTCGTTCAACCTGGTGAGGGTGAGGTAAGTCAGGACAATATACATGTGGACGCCCATAACATAGTCACTGACGCTGCCCAGAGCTGCGATGCTGACGGTGGTGCTGACCTTGGTGAGGTGACGATAGAACAAGTAATTGGTTGTCAACTGGATATAGAGGATGACACCATGCGGGATAGTGATGTAGAAATGTCTGTGCAGAGGCCAACTCCACCCTCTTCAGTAAGGTCTGGTAGAAAGGTTAAGGGTCGTGTGAAGGCTTGGGGTGTGAAGGCTTGGGGTGTGAAGGCTGGGGGTGTGAAGGCTGGGGGTGTGAAGGCTGGGGGTGTGAAGGCTGGGGGTGTGAAGGCTGGGAGTGTGAAGGCTGGGGGTGTGAAGGCTGGGGGTGTGAAGGCTGGGGGTGTGAAGGCTGGGGGTGTGAAGGCTGGGGGTGTGAAGGCTGGGGGTGTGAAGGCTGGTTATGAAAACAGTCATCTGAAGACACGTGGGAAAAAATTAACTCAGAGTTTTGATCATATACGTATGAAGGACTGCGCTGCTAAATTAAAAGTCTCTGAAAAAAATTGACCAGGTGGTTGCCGTTGAAGTTCACCGTGACTAAGGCCACGAAGAGTCACCGAAACGTAGCGAGGGCACAGTACAACAGGTGAGTGAGGATCATGGTGAAGAGAACAGTGATATCATGGTGGGATCTTGTGGAACATGAACAGAATCGAGCCGGTAGGGTAAATATTACACTTGGATTTCGAAAAGAGAAAGAAGGCACTAAGTTAGTGTCAAGTGAGATAATGATGGATAAGGAGTTATTTTGCTTTTTCTCAAATTATATTCGGAAACCTATTAATTTTAATTGTGCTACTTTGAACATGGGCTCTTTCAGGTGTGCATCTGGAACTGTGTATGGAGTCTGCCTCCACCACATCACTTGCCAGGCCTTCATGTTGTCTGCCTAGAACACAACACATCACACATGTGTACTCATCATCACTTCCAGTACTCCTGCAGGTGCTGGGAGCCCCACACCATACTCCTGCAGGTGCTGGCAGCCCCTCATCATACTCCTGCAGGTGCTGGGAGCCCCACACCATACTCCAGTACTCCTGCAGGTGCTGGGAGCCCCACACCATACTCCACTCCTGCAGGTGCTGGAAGCCCCACACCATACTCCTGCAGGTGCAGCCCCACACCATACTCCTGCAGGTGCTGGGAGCCCCACACCATACTCCTGCAGGTGCTGGGAGCTCCAGCCCCCCACACCATACTCCTGCAGGTGCTGGGAGCTCCACACCATACTCAGGTGCTGGGAGCTCCACACCATACTCCTGCAGGTGCTGGCAGCCCCTCATCATACTCCTGCAGGTGCTGGGAGCCCCACACCATACTCCTGCAGGTGCTGGCAGCCCCTCATCATACTCCTGCAGGTGCTGGGAGCCCCACACCATACTCCTGCAGGTGCTGGCAGCCCCTCACCATACTCCTGCAGGTGCTGGGAGCCCCACACCATACTCCTGCAGGTGCTGGGTGCTGGCAGCCCCACATACTCCTGCAGGTGCTGGCAGCTCCACACCATACTCCAGTACTCCTGCAGGTGCTGGGAGCCCCACACATACTCCAGTACTCCTGCAGGTGCTGGGAGCCCCACACCATACCTGGTGCTGGGAGCCCCACACCATACTCCAGTACTCCTGCAGGTGCTGGCAGCCCCACACCATACTCCAGTACTCCTGCAGGTGCTGGGAGCACCACACCATACTCCAGTACTCCTGCAGGTGCTGGCAGCCCCACACCATACTACATACTCCAGTACTCCTGCAGGTGCTGGCAGCCCCACACCATCAGGTGCTGGAAGCCCCACACCATACTCCTGCAGGTGCTGGGAGCCCCACACCATACTCCTGTAGGTGCTCGGAGCCCCACACCATACTCCTGCAGGTGCTGGGAGCTCCACACCATACTCCTGCAGGTGCTGGGAGCTCCACACCATACTCTTGCAGGTGCTGGGAGCTCCACACCATACTCCTGCAGGTGCTGGGAGCTCCACACCATACTCCTGCAGGTGCTGGGAGCCCCACACCATACTCCTGCAGGTGCTGGCAGCTACTCCTGCAGGTGCTGGGAGCCCCACACCATACTCCAGTACTCCTGCAGGTGCTGGCAGCCCCACACCATACTCCAGTACTCCTGCAGGTGCTGGCAGCTCCACACCATACTCCAGTACTCCTGCAGGTGCTGGCAGCCCCACACCATACTCCAGTACTCCTGCAGGTGCTGGCAGCTCCACACCATACTCCAGTACTCCTGCAGGTGCTGGCAGCCCCACACCATACTCCAGTACTCCTGCAGGTGCTGGGAGCACCACACCATACTCCTGCAGGTGCTGGGAGCCCCACACCATACTCCAGTACTCCTGCAGGTGCTGGCAGCCCCACACCATACTCCAGTACTCCTGCAGGTGCTGGGAGCCCCACACATACATACTCCTGCAGGTGCTGGCAGCCCCACACCATACTCCAGTACCCTGCACACCCCATACTCCAGTACTCTTGCAGGTGCTGGCAGCCCCACACCATACTCCTGCAGGTGCTGGGAGCCCCACACCATACTCCTGCAGGTGCTGGGAGCCCCACACCATACTCCTGCAGGTGCTGGCAGCTCCAGCCCCACACCATACTCCTGCAGGTGCTGGGAGCCCCACACCATACTCCTGCAGGTGCTGGGAGCCCCACACCATACTCGTGCAGGTGCTGGCAGCCCCACACCATACTCCTGCAGGTGCTGGCAGCTCCACACCATACTCCTGCCCCAGGTGCTGGCAGCCACACCATACTCCTGCAGGTGCTGGCAGCTCCACACCATGCAGGTGCTGGGAGCCCCACACCATACTCCAGTACTCCTGCAGGTGCTGGGAGCTACTCCTGCAGGTGCTGGCAGCCCCACACCATACTCCTGCAGGTGCTGGGAGCCCCACACCATACTCCTGCAGGTGCTGGGAGCCCCACAGCCCACACCATACTCCTGCAGGTGCTGGCAGCTCCACACCATACTCCTGCAGGTGCTGGGAGCCCCACACCATACTCCTGCAGGTGCTGGCAGCCCCACACCATACTCCAGTACTCCTGCAGGTGCTGGGAGCCCCACACCATACTCCTGCAGGTGCTGGGAGCCCACACACCATACTCCACACCATACTCCTGCAGGTGCTGGGAGCCCCACACCATACTCCTGCAGGTGCTGGGAGCCCCACACTCATACTCCTGCAGGTGCTGGGAGCCCACACACTCATACCCCACACCATACTCCTGCAGCCCCACACCATACTCCAGTGCTGGGGAGCCCCACACCATACTCCTGCAGGTGCTGGGAGCCCCACACCATACTCCTGCAGGTGCTGGGAGCTCCACACTATACTCCTGCAGGTGCTGGGAGCTCCACACCATACTTCAGTACTCCTGCAGGTGCTGGGAGCCCCACACCATACTCCAGCTCTTGCAGGTGCTGGCAGCTCCACACCATACTCCTGCAGGTGCTGGCAGCTCTCTGCAGGTGCTGGGAGCCCCACACCATACTCCAGCTCCTGCAGGTGCACTCCACACCATACTCCTGCAGGTGCTGGGAGCCCCACACCATACTCCTGCAGGTGCTGGGAGCCCCACACCATACTCCTGCAGGTGCTGGGAGCTCCACTCCCTGCAGGTGCTGGGAGCTCCCACACCAGGTGCTGGCAGCTCCACACCATACTCCTGTAGGTGCTGGGAGCCTGCAGGTGCTGGGAGCCCCACACCAGCTACACACCATACTCCTGCAGGTGCTGGGAGCCCCACACCATACTCCTGCAGGTGCTGGGAGCCCCACACCATACTCCTGCAGGTGCTGGGAGCCCCACACCATACTCCTGGGTGCTGGGAGCCCACACCATACTCCTGCAGGTGCTGGGAGCTCCACACCATACTCCTGCAGGTGCTGGGAGCCCATCACAGGTGCTGGGAGCTCCACACCATACTCCTGCAGGTGCTGGGAGCCCCACACCATACTCCAGGTGCAGGTGCTGGGAGCCCCACCACACCATACTCCTGCAGGTGCTGGGAGCCCCACACCATACTCCTGCAGGTGCTGGCAGCCACACCATACTCCTGCAGGTGCTGGGAGCCCCACACCATACTCCTGCAGGTGCTGGGAGCCCCACACCATACTCCTGCAGGTGCTGGGAGCCCCACACCATACTCCTGCAGGTGCTGGGAGCCCCACACCATACTCCTGCAGGTGCTGGGAGCCCCACGCGGCCTGATCACTAATGCACACTCCGACAACCTCGGCTCAGTTGACGCCTCTTGCACTCCACTCCACATGGCAATGATATATTTTAGACTTTTTAAGGAATTTATGATTCCTTAATATTAAGAACAAGAGGTAATTATGCCGGACTATTCGTGAATTTTTGTTCCCATGAATGTGTTCCAATTGTCTCGTTTTCTTTTGTGTGACTCTAATGGAATTATCGAAATTACTGGAGGAAAATTGGTTAGTACCGTGCCTCACTGTACCTGGGACGGTGAAGTGTTGTGGTACCGTGCCTCACTGTACCTGGGACGGTGTAGTGTTGTGGTACCGTGCCTCACTGTACCTGGGACGGTGCAATGTTGTGATACCGTGCTTCACTGCATCTAGGATGGTGTACATGAGTGGTACTGTGCTTCACTGTAAATAGGAAGATACAGTGATGGAACCTTGTTTCACAGTACCTTTGATGATGCAGTTACAGAGGTCACACCAACGTGTCCCATGCCTCGCCCTATTCAGATGTCTAGCCTGCCATTGACACAGGTACACAAGCCAGTTGCAAGGATAGATGACCGGCTGCAACAGTTGCAAGGTATGAGGCGTCAACTGCGAGCCATCACCGTCGACCTCCTCACATAAATAAAACAGGACATTGAACATGTCTTTGTCCAGGTTATATATCTGCCACACGAGATGAACTCACGGGGTCTTAAGGGGATGTAAACCTCCTCTGTACTCTACACGCTGCATGCTAACGACCCTCGGGTAGTAGTCTACCCAGCTATCCCATTATCTTAAATATCTCGATAAAAGCCTCCCTGAACCAGGCTGTTTCTGTCATGGTAAACTATTGCCCTCTCTCCCAGGCATACTGTGGGAGATCTGGGACCTTCTGTGTCTGTGAGTACCATAGTGTATACCACCATACTGGCTTAGTGTGGTCTGTGAGTACCATAGTGTATACCACCATACTGGCTTAGTGTGGTCTGTGAGTACCACAGTGTACACCACCACCATACTGGCTTAGTGTGGTCTGTGAGTACCATAGTGTATACCACCATACTGGCTTAGTGTGGTCTGTGAGTACCATAGTGTACACCACCATACTGGCTTAGTGTGGTCTGTGAGTACCATAGTGTACACCACCACCATACTGGCTTAGTGTGGTCTGTGAGTACCATAGTGTACACCACCACCATACTGGCTTAGTGTGGTCTGTGAGTACCATAGTGTATACCACCATACTGGCTTAGTGTGGTCTGTGAGTACCATAGTGTACACCACCACCA